CCAGGTGTCCAACATTACATCATCTGACACCTGACCAGGTGTCCAACATTACATCATCTGACACCTGACCAGGTGTCCTCATACCTGGTCCACTGCTGCTCTGAGACTCATCTGTCATCGGTGGCTCCGCCTCCTCCTGGATCGTAGGAACTGAAGCTAGAAGACCTGAAAAACACACAAATACACACACTTAGTATGACCACACACACACACACACACACACACACACACACACACACACACACACACACACACACATACACACACAGAATCTGTTTCACTAATCATGCAGTTCTTTGTTTTTAAATGAAGTCTACAGTAAATGGCGTTAGATGCAGTGTTAGCCTGATGTTAGCATGTTAGCAGCTACGTCTCAGTTTTAAACAAATAATAAGCCCACGGTTAGCTTCAGAGTTAACTTCACGGTTAGCTTCATGGTTAACTTCAGAGTTAACTTCAGAGTTAACTTCATGGTTAGCTTCATGGTTAGCCTCATGGTTAGCTTCACGGTTAACTTCATGGTTAGCCTCATGGTTAGCTTCATGGTTAGCTTCACGGTTAACTTCACGGTTAACTTCACGGTTAGCCTCATGGTTAGCTTCATGGTTAGCTTCACGGTTAACTTCATGGTTAACTTCAGAGTTAACTTCATGGTTAGCTTCATGGTTAACTTCATGGTTAGCTTCACAGTTAACTTCATGGTTAGCTTCATGGTTAGCTTCATGGTTAGCTTCATGGTTAACTTCACAGTTAACTTCACGGTTAGCTTCATGGTTAACTTCATGGTTAGCCTCATGGTTAACTTCATGGTTAGCCTCATGGTTAACTTCATGGTTAACTTCAGAGTTAACTTCATGGTTAGCTTAACAGTTAGCTTCATGCTGGTAAAACTATAGAAATGATTTATTTAAGTGTCTCAGTTCTGAGTAAACTCCTTTAACAATCCTCTTCATGCTGAATATTTAGTCGACATGGCAGGACTACAAGACAAGGACATTTGTCCCCAGGGGGGCTTTATACAATTATTACAGTCCTGGGGGGCTTAGGACCATTTTACTGACAGAACTGTTGACATTTATGACGTCTCATGTGTCCTCAGGAAAGACCAGGATGGCTAACATCAGGACTCACTCAGTCCTCTGTAGTGGGACAGGGGGACTCACTCAGTCCTCTGTAGTGGGACAGGGGGACAGGGGGACTCACTCAGTCCTCTGTAGTGGGACAGGGGGACAGGGGGACTCACTCAGTCCTCTGTAGTGGGACAGGGGGACAGGGGGACTCACTCAGTCCTCTGTAGTGGGACAGCTGCTGGTAGACCTGCTTCATGCGCTCGATGTTGAGCCGGCTGCCCTCGGCGTGGTTGATCATGGGTTTGGGGTAGTCCACGCCCACCACACAGTTGGCGGTCTTCTGCAGGGACTCGGGGGCGTTCCACGGCTCGTAGATGTAGCGGTTGGGGTAGTCCTTCAGGACGGGGACGTACCGCCTGCAGGAAGTTCAGAGGAGGACATCAGAACCAGGATGCTGTTAAGTTTTGGTGATGAAACATTTCTGCATCAAACACAAACTGAAGACCTGCAGACATCTGTATCCTTTAAAGGAGATCTAATATGCTAAATTCACTTTTTTCAGGGTTTTTTACTCACATTTGGGTCTGTACTGCTTCTAAAAACAGTCCAAGCACCAAAAAATGCACTCAGAGATATTTTTACTATAAGTAAATGTATTTTTCTGTGTCTTGAAATGACCTGTTTTCAAACACAGCTACTTGTGATGTCACAAGTCTCACTCCAGCCCACCCCAACCTGAGCCAAGCAGAGACTCCGCCCACTTCTTCACAGGACGGTTCTGCTGTTTTAGAACAGGAGAACAGAAATGTGTGGATTCATTTTATTTAATTTTATTTTTTATGACAATGTTCTGGCAATATTAAAGAAAGTTTATGTGAATAATCTCACCATGAACTACTTTAGAAAAATTGTACTTTCAACTGAAAAGAAACTGAAAGTAAACTTGTGGCGGGGGGCGGAGCTTACGTAAACAAAAGGTTGGGAGGGGGTTTCCATACCAAATTTCATTATCTGAGATCAGTTTAGTGAATTAAATGAACATGTTTTGTAGAGCCCACAGATGGATCCTAACATGTTCTAGGACCCCCACATTAGGTCTCCTTTAACTAATCTTGGACTCACAGGAGCTGGACCAGACTCAGATAATAACAAGTGGTTCTGAACTGAAAGCGGACCTGATGTAGTCTCCAGACGGGTCGGTCCTCCTGCCGAAGCCCACGGGACAGTAGCAGTGGAAGAACTGCTGGAAGAAGGCACTGCAGGAGAGCCACATCCAGCTGCCAGCGTTCACGCTCCAGTCTGCGTCCAGCAGCTGCTCCTCGAACACCTGCAGGACCAGGACCAGGACCAGAACCAGGACCACGTTAGAGTTCTGGGGTCAGAGTCAGCCTACCTGCCAGGGACTGGAGCCCACCTTCATGCCGCTCTCCCAGCTGATCCACAGGTCGCCCCGGGTCAGGAAGCAGGCCACGGCGTGCCGGGCCCGGTGGTGGATCCAGCCCTCCTGCCTCAGCTGGGTCATGATGGCGTCAATCCAGGGGAAACCGGTGCGACCCTCGGCCCACTTGGCCAGCGCCTCTGGGTTCTGGTCCCAGGGGATCTGGAGACAGGAAGCAGAGTGTTCACTGCAGGGTCCCGTTGCTGGCTGAGCCGAGCCGGTCCTGTTTGGACCCACCTGCACACAGATGGGGTTTCCCTCCATGCGGTCAAAGTTTGGGTTGTTGGTGGCGGCCGTGTAGAAGAACTCCCTCCACAGCAGCTGACCGTACAGCGACAGAGGAGGACTGCTGCGCTTACACAGCTGAGGAGCACAGCAGCAGGTTCACAACACAAATACTAGTACTCAGTTTGAAGGAGCTGCATCAGTACAACTCTGATCTGTTATACTGTAATCAGTGTGCATTGCGTTGGCAACGCACACTATTGTGATTCGTTTCCCATCCAAGTCATCTCCACTTTGTCACGCTTCTCCTCCTGCATACTTTGTCCTAGAGCTGCCATTGTAATTTATATCTGTAAAGCTCCTGTGCCAAATGATGGCTATGCCTTTTGGTGCCTGTACAACTTATAGTTTTTGAAATATTAATGTTTAATAAAATTTATAATGGGTGTCAATGGAGCCTTGTATTGGTCCAAAACTGCCCCCTGCTGTATCTACTCAGTACTGAACCATAGTTTAATAATATTTAATCTCCATAGTTCAGTGTTAACAATACTAATATGATTGTATTTTGATGTTTTACTATAATGTTGTCCTAATATTGCTCTATTGCTGTGATATATTAAAGTTTAGTGTCAACAATTGCATTGGCAATGTGGCCTCTTTCTGCACACATACAAACCAACCCTTGGCAGTGCCCTCTGCCACAGCTCCAATGGTCTCATGGTTAACTCTATGTGCTTTCATGTGGGAGATCAGGGTTCAAAACMCAGYTACAGCAACTTTAACWAAAAATCTCTWCAAACTTCATATTGTYACACAATTAYCCTCATTACAAACACCTGMTGACTTGACAAGCACAAGCTGGTATAAACAACACAACTGAACTTGGTCACAGTTCATTCTGCAAGTCCAATGCTGCAGGTAAAGCCATGCTGCAAGGACGTGCTGCACGGCAATGCACACTTGTTTTTACATCGTAAAAACCCATGTCTAGTTATTATTAGACTCTTATTTTGAAGATCTTTATGTTGTATTTCCAGATTAAAAGGTGAAGTTTCTTGGTGTCATCATTAATGAAAAACTGACATGGAAATCTCACATAAATTAGAACTAATGTTAGAGAAAATGCAAGTAGAATTTGTGAAAATACAAAACTGGTTTAAACTTAATCAATTATCACGAAATCTGGATAAAACTAATTATATGATATTTACAAAGAGACAAAGAACTGATAATATTCCATTTAGAGTTGACGGTGTACAGATGAATACAGTCAGTGAGGTAAAGTTTTTGGGTGTTATTATTGATGAGAAACTGACATGGAAACCTCATTTAAATTATTTAAGAATAAAACTAGCTAAATCTATTGCATTGCTTTAAAGAGTAAGGGACTTGTTTAATGATTAAGCTCTGTATATGTTATATAACACATTAATTGTTCCACACTTGGTCTGTTGTTGAGGTGTGGGGTAAAGCATGTAAGACTATTACACATCCTGTTTTTATTTTGCAGAAAAGAGCTACAAGAGTTATCACTCAAAAACATTACTATTATCCATCTAATATATTATTTTGTAAACTGAAATTATTTAAATTTTGTGATTTGGTTGATTATAATATTCAGTTAGTTATATATAAGGCTCACCTAAACACATTACCTTTAAACATCCAGATAAACTTTGTAAAAACAGAGAGCTGTTATAATCTTAATTTATTTTTATTTACTGTTATTTTACCAGGCAAATCCCATTGAGATCTCAGATCTCTTTTTCAAGGGCGGCCTGGGCC